CCAACCTCCCCCTCCACCAGGCCCAACTGTTCCTCTCCTCCCAATTTATCTGGTCTCCTTGGCAGCCACGCATCTGAAAGGGCAACTGTTGTGCTCCAGAGGTGGCATCGGGATTTGCAGGGCCTGAAGCAGCAAAAGTGATTTATCTTCTGTAACACAGCTTGGGCTGCCTGAGGACTTGGGGAGTGCTACCCTTGCCCTGCACAGCTGGAGGCAGCTGGTGGGTAGGTGGGTGGAGAACAGCAGAGGTAAAAGGAGCTGCTGCAGCTGCCTGAAACGACACTGGCCAGTTATTTGGGGAGCTGCAGGGTGTGGAATGTTGTGTGGTCTGAGGCTGTGGGGTTGAGTGGGCGGAAAAGGCCGGCCTGTCCAAGGATCAGCTGCCTGCTTTGAAGGTGTGACTGCAGATAGAGCTGCTTGTTGGAGGACTTCAAAGCATACAGTCTCGAGCCAAGATGACATGGGGCGAGCTTTGATCCTTGACTCTCCTTACACCAATAGATCCCTGGTGGGACAGCAGGGAAGAACGACCAGGGTTGTGTGGGGTGGTTTTATACAGGCAAGCCAGTTGTCACTCCCAGCCCTATAATTCTGCCTGAAACCCTTGTAAAGTAGGTGCATCCGTTTGCTTACATGTCTACTGGGATTTTGGTCTTTACTAATCTGAGAATGCCGGGGCTGAGAGCAATAAGCAACTGGTGTTGCGTTTCCCAGTTGTACTAGGGGTGCTTCCATGATCACTCTTGGAGTAGCCATGCTCCATTGTTCCCTTCATTCTTTTTTCACTGGTCTTCATGATGCCATTTTTGTCAATTCATCATCTCCATCACCCCCCTGTTTTCCCTATGGAAAACTCTTTTGGGGCTCCAGCAAATCCACCTCCTTTTGGAAAGCAAGGACATATCTTCTCCACAAATATAGGCCACTGTAGCGATAATTTCTCATCTTTTAAAGAGCCACCCCTTACGTATCAGACAGATATAACAGTCACCATGCATCTTATTTGGCATACTTTGTTTCTACCTCTTTCATCACTACCATTTTATCAGTATGAGTATTTAGCTGATTTTTTGTCTTCAAATGCATTATCACTTAAAATTTTAAAATAATGAAGCCACACAGTAACACTTAAATGCAAGAAATGACCATGTGGTTCTTAGCAGTGGTTCTTAGGATTACACAATTTTGGCATAAATTCAATATTAAGGTTTAAAAAAAACACTCTTCCTGCTCCAATTGGTGCCACATTAGTACTATCATAATTAGAGTATTTTAATTAGTATTAAAACATATTTCACGGTGCGATTCTATACATGTCTGTTTGGAAGTATCTTCAGTTTACTATCATAAGTAAGTATATGATTTTGCCATTATTCTAGATGGTTTTTAAAAATCTGTGATTGTACACAATAGTGCCTAAACAGAAAGAAACTTCAGTGCAAAGTAAAGAATGAAGTTTTAAAAACTTCTAAAAACAGCAGATTGAAAACTGTATGCTGAGAATTTACCCTTCTCTGCATGGCAGTATTACACCCATTAGTGTGAATACAACATGGAAGATACACACGTATTCATATACTGTACACACACATACATGCACAGAGTCCCATATTCTGTAAATACAAGAACTGAGTTGAAATTGTGCCTGGAGCTTTCTGCAGATGTTTAGTGAGGGAAACTACTGTTAGATGCCACTGACAGAGAGGCAAAAATGTTCATGCTTATTGTACTGTTCCCTCTGCAGTAGCTGCACACTTAGGAGAGTCCAAAAATCCAGGCAGCTATGCTTGAACCCTAACAAAAACCATTTATAGCAGATTTAATCTCTACCAAGAGCATCTCTGTTGTAAAACTAGTGGGTCTTCATTGTCCATTCAAAAACAAGCCCCACAAAATACTTTTCACTGGAACAGGTGTAGCTCACAGCAAGATACTGTTGCAGAGAACATTCATGTCTCCCATAGTTAACCTGACCCTTTCAGGGAGGGAGGGAGGGAGGGAGGGAGGAAGGAAGGAAGGAAGGAAGGGTGAATGAGTTGGCATTTTTGATCCTCGAAAGCCCTGTACTACCAAACTGACCAGTCTGCAATAACAAAGCAAGCAGCCCTGTAAGATGTCAGAATTCCAGGACCACTGTTGTATCAGCTGGTTGATAGCACTTATGTTTTGGGGGACCTTATTGAGTGAATGTCTTGTACTCAGTACTTGAGAATGTCTATGCATATGAGGAAGAGGGATGTTTCGTGACATCATGGTAGATTGGGGAGGTGTCAACTGGAATACACAACTGAAAGCGAATGAGGCTGTTTTATGAAATCATTGAATTGAAGTTAGAGGGCAATAAATGAAACTTTGAGAACCGCTGGTAAAGATAGAGAGGTTTTTGAAAATGAGATAAGTGTCCAGGGAAGGAAGGAATTCTGTTTGTTTGTAAGTAAAGGCCTCGAAACGAAATACCCCTTGAAGAAAGAAGCCTACTGTCCTGGTTGGCAGTCTAACATTGGGCGGAAGTTCAGTTACTCCAGAGGTCCTCACTACTCCTTGTCTTCAGCCTATGGAGGAGCCTGGGTTCTCCAAGCTGCATCCTGGACACACTTTCTCCCCCTGGCCCCAATTATGACTTAGCTCCTATACAATCTCCAGAAAAGTATTTCTCTCACAAGTACCAAGTCTTCCCACCCCTAGTCCAGCTGTAGGGAGTGGCCTTGGCCCTACCCTTGTAACCACATCCCCACACTCATCGCTGATGCATCACAGTGGGATTAGCCAGGGAGCGTGGGCTGGCTTAAAGTGAGGAGCACTTCCTGCTTCTTGGCTGGATGCCTGGCCAGGCACTCACCCACGTCAAATACCTAGGGATAATGACTAAAAAGTCCAGGCCCATTGCCCAAAGATAGCACATAGCACTATTTTAAGGCCCTGCCAGGTCCCTCACGTAGCCATACATTTGCCATCTTTTTCTCTCTTCTTTTCTAGTGTTGTTGTGTGCCTTTTACAGCCATGAGACAAGCAAAACTTTCACAGGCTTAAGCTTCTCCAGCATGGGGATTGTGCTGAATGTAGATCTAGACCACCTTCTACCCCAGAATTGCATCTGGAATTGGGGGAGATGTGAGGTGTGTGGGTGCAGGGCCGTACTCTTCTCCCATCAGCAGGACCAAAGACACCTCTCTAAAAACACACACACATTTTCCAGAGCTCCTGTTATACAGTATAGCCAGGGCCACTTCTGTCACACAATTCTTTTCTTTTCTTCCTCTCTATATTTCTCGTCACACAAAGTCTTTTCTTTTCTTTTCTTCCTCTCTATATTTCTACATTATGAACTAGACAGATATAGCATTCTGCCATAACTCAGGGTTGCAGATCCAACAGTAAATCACCAGCCGACGAGTGTAAAAATACTGCTCACATAAGCAGTCTACTTGCATGAGCAATGTTAACATGGGGGAGCCATATTACATCACTCCCTTTCATGAGCTGCATTCTCTTCACCGAAGGGACTGCTGGCTAACCTCTCAGGAGTCATCTCCTTCCTGTTTTGCTGCTCATGGGAGTATTGCAACCTACTTGCTTGAGCGCACTGTGTCTCTGCAACAGCCAGCCTCCACTGATATGCCAGAACCATCTCTCAGGTGTCAAGTTACTGCAAGAGGAAAAAAAAAAAACAGAATTGCATGAAGGTTTGTTTCACTGGGGAAGTAGGTTCAGGCTGTGTAGGTGGCCACCCCACAAAGACCCAACGGTATTGCAGAATAAGGCAGGAGCCACCGGCCAAGGAATATGGTGGCCCAACTGCAAGAGCTACAGAAGAAACTTCATCACCAGAGATTCACTCGATTCAGTGCATTGAAAGAGATTATTCCTTCCCCCCCATCTGCAGATGTTCCTCTGATGCCTGTGTGCAGTGTGGTGTTTCTGTATCATGGCCTCGTGGCTTCTATGTTTAGTCTGACACTGTATTTATAATTTTTGAAGATATCTTTGTGGACAATTAGCTTCAGTCTTATTCATCTCTCTTTGGCTAACTGTTTAATCCTGATACCGTTCTCGATCTGGAAATAGGAGAGCCCAATGTGCTGCATAGGGGTTGTTCCCATTTGCTTACCCTCCAGGGTTTATATGCTGGCAATGAAGCTGCTAGTGTTGAGCTGCTGCATGAGTGCTGACATGCTCACACACATGTATACCAAGGGGTTCTGTACCTCTGCCAGTTGCCACTCTGTTTTCACGGCCCAGTGACACATATCCTACGACCCCGTCTTTGCGATAAAATCACATCAGTTCTAGAGGGTTTCCGTAGGTATTCACGCTACTACCCCAGCCCCAGTATAGAGAGCAGGCACATAATAATATATGCACATCAGAGCTGCCAAATTGAGTGGGAAAGCTGTGTTTGTGCATCCAAAACTGCATATAAAGGCACATAGGTCGGCCCATCCATCTGCTGAAAGTATTTAGTTCTCTGTGTAAACCTGGTGTCTGGGACAAACATTCAAACAAACTAGGATTTTAAGTAGCTGGTTTTAAAACAAGGACATTTATGTTGGTACTGTTTTGCAAAGGTTGTTTCCAGGTTAATGCATATGTATCTTTGCAAAGTATTTGATTTGCAGTAGGCAGGATATCAAATATAGATTATTTAATTAAATGCTTGCCATTGTGGAGAGATTGATTCATGCTGTCTATCTGTGTGCTGACACTCTGCTTCTCTCTCTCTCTCTCTGTTCCTCTCTCTCTCTCTCTCTTTTTCTTTTGTGTATCCAGCAGGAAGCGGGTTGATGGGAAACACACCTGCCTCATCCTTTATGGGCAGCTTCCTCAGCAGCAGCTTGGGGTCAGCAGCCCCCCCACATCCCACAGGCCCGGCATCCTCCCCATCAGAACCGGCCTTCCGTGGCCCCCACTCTGGCACCTCCCAGATCTGGTTCTCACACTCCCATGAAGGTAAAGAGAATTGGTGGAGTCATTATTATGTGGCCTGACCATCTTCCTACTAATCACCAAAAGCATGAAGGCTAGAAAGGTGATTTTTGAAAAGACAAACAATTTTTAATACTCTGTGTCAGGCCAAATATTTATATATATATTATACTGTGCCATTAGGGAATCACAGAAGACAAATAGTGCTGACTAAGAAGATCCTCATACTTGCGGAGGATAGCAGGCCAAGAACTAAAAATGTCCCAGCAAATGCATGCAAACTCACAGCAGAAGCACGCAGACCTGGGGTGTGTGAAGGAAACTTTCTGACTCTTGAACCCCTATGAGACTGGCCGTCCCCAAATCACATTCTGATCATAGAACGTTAAGTTGATTTGTTTAAACTGCTCTACTGCACTGTAGCACAGAGCTGGGCTTGTTTTTTTTCCTCTGGAGTTGAGGACAGGAAATTGGAGAAGAACTGCAGAACAAGGAGGGTTGTTTGCATTTTTCTCTTCACTAGTATTGAGCCCGTTCCCTTTTTTTTCTTTGATTCAGGAAATCCCCTAAGATATTCAAAGCAGCCTTCTCGAAAAAGACCTTTGAACAAAGTGTTTTACACAATGAATTTGCTGCAGGTCTGCCCAGTATCTGACTACGGCCTCCCCCTCATCAGAGCTGTTAGTTCCTCCCACTCCTATTCCCAAATTTCCTGTTATTCTGTTCCTGAACTTCTCTCACGTGCACTTAGTTCAGCTGATGTCTTTCAGCCTCCCAGACTGCAGTTACTCCGTCATTCCATTCTCAGCTTGTCCGTGCAATTCAGAGTTGGTCCAGTGTGTTTCACTGAGAACTCCACGGCCCCAAAGAAGCCACCCTGGAGCGTCCACACTACAGCTCTTCCTATCCCACTCCAGATGTGCTAGGCGGCTGGCTGTACAGCCTTGCCCGCTCCCCTCCCCAGATACACTTCCAACTGTTCTTGAGCTGCAGCCTCTGTGTGTGTCTCCCTCCGTCTCCCTCTCCCTCTCTCCCGTGGTGACCAGCTCTTGCTGTGCCCTTCCCCTCCCCCCTCCACAACATCCTCCCCTCTGTGTGAGATGCAGAAAGTTAAAGTGTGAGCGGCAAGGTGCTGCTGGCACTGTGCCCGGGCAGCCAGCCCGACTGCTAGTTTGAACGGCTGCCAGCTGGCTTCCGGCATGCTGGAGCTGCTGGGGGTGGGATGGGGGGGATGCGGGCGATGCTGTCGGCATCATGCTGACGAGCAGCCTGTCTGGGAGCTGGCGGTGGGGGGGAAGAGAAGGCAGGGTTGAAAGTATGGGTGTGTGGCTCACTAGGGAGATTAGTTGGGCACACACAGGGAAGGCCAGCATTCCCCTTCTGTGAGGAACCATGAAGAAAAGTCAGCTTGGGGAAACTCAGACAAGGTCGTTAAGTGTCTTAGCCTATCACCCCACCATTTGTTTATGTTGCCACCATTGGATTCTAACCTGGCTGGGAAGCTCTGAGTCACAAATTAAAGACGTGTGGGAAATCCATTCTTTTGGAGTCTATTATGTCTTGTGTCTGAGGAGGGGTTGGTTTACTAGGGTTGGCTAGGCTAGCTCTCAACTCCTTACTATTAGTCATTTCTGCTGTGCAAGAACATTCGTGTTGGGTTTTTTTTTCTTTCATGTTGTTAATATGCAAAGTATTTTCTCCTCCTGTTTTTGAGCTTAAAACTACATTAAGGACAGCCATGTACTGATCAGCACAGCTCAAATTCTCAGAAAGAAACTGTCCTCTCTTCTTCAGTGTACGTGTCTGTTTTTCCCCAAAACCAGTTTTTGTGGAAGAAACTATATTTATAATTAGAAAAAGAGTCACATACTACCGTAGCCCAATTTTACCAATAATATTGCATCTTTTTTAGGCAGTCTTATAGTTCGGCATCTTCTTCTGAATTGCCTACTGAAACTCGGAGGAAATTCTCTGTTTCTAAAGTAGCAGAATACCAAATATTGACATAGTTTGTCAGGTCTAGTTCTGTTTCCACTCCTCCTCCTGTAGATACACCTTTTAAAAGACATATATTGTAGCTGGTAGAGTCTTTACACTTTCAGTTAAATAAATTAGTGAATCTTCCTGTTTTGCAATGAAGAAGACGAGATTGATGTTTATTTATGACTGGTGCATTTATTTAAATTCACCCCGAGAAGTTTGTGGCAAAGCTAGGAATTGAGCCCAGCACCTCTGAGCATCAGGTGCGAAAACTCAGGGTTAGTGCTTGCTGAGATGTTTGGCTGTGCTCACTCTAGGTAGCCCTCAAAGTGCTTGACTCTCTTTTGCTGTCTTCTTAGTAAAATCCTTAGTGGCAGCATTTGACACTTGACCAAGACACAGGCTGGCAGGAAGCCAGGAGGATACAATCCTATTGAAGAGTGTAAAGTCAATGGCTACGTGTAGATTTCACCCACATCTCTGAGTGCTGCTGAGCCATGGAATCTGGGTACTGTATTGGTGACACCAAGTTGCTTGGAATCCTGAATTTCTCCCTCATGTTTTGAAGCAACCAAAATTCTAGATGCTGGGATGCCATTCTAGAATTTCTGGTACAACTACAGATCCGAAAGAAGTACTTGCCGTGGTCAGAATGTGGATCTGTGATGCTTCAGGAGCTCCGTCTTCCCTCTCTAGCCTCCATGGCACTCTTCACTGCCAGATGCACATCTCTCCTCCCCTAATCTCAGTTAGCCTTTTCTCTCTGTCTGTTCCCTCGGACATTGTCAAAACATTAAATAAAATCAGAATCTTTGAAAACAGACTAAGCTGTAAGCTTTGAAAACAGAGTAAGTTATTGCAAGTACTATGTACATAGGTGGGGTTATTTCAATCCTATTTCAATTTTAGCAGTTTTCAGACAGAAAACCTTGTTTCTTTCACCACCAACAAAGCCAAAACCAAAGCAAAAATCTTGTGGCATCTGTAAGACTAACCTATTTATTTCATTGTAAACTTTCCTGGATTACTGTCCACTTCTTCAAACACATGGAAGTGTCTTTCTGTGTCCAAAGATGTGGATTATAGTCCAGAAAATCTCATACTGAAATAGTACTGTCAGTCTTAAAGGTGTTGCTGTTGTTGTCGTCGTCATCATCATCATCATCATCATCATCATCATCATCATTCTTTAGTTTTAAATACCTTGGTGCAAATTTTGGATTTACGTTATGCATTTATTTAGGCAAAGGAGGACCTTGGAATCCCCCCCCCCATTTCCTAAAATGTCCTCTTTGAGAGTGTCTTTCTACCATGCTATCACCAGAGGAGTTTTCTCTTGTGATACCCATAAATTTGGACCATCTTCTCATGCATGTCCAATTACCTTCCTGTACCCCATGATCCACCCGAAAGTCAGTCATTCCCTAACTATAACCACTAGATATTATTTTAGTGTGGCCATAGTAAAAGCCTGATCTAACAAAGGGCAATTTTGCTTCAGTGCGTGCATATGGAGACAGTGGACTAAGAGCCCAGGCAGTGACCTGGCTTCATGACCAATATGTTGTGACATTGGCGTTTCATTCTTCACTGCCTCTTGTTTTAGCTCCAGGTTACCCGAGGTTCTCTGGGAGTTTAGCATCCACTTTTCTTCCCATGAGCCATTTGGATCACCATGGAAACAGCAATGTCCTGTACGGCCAGCATCGTTTCTATGAAAGTCAGAAAGGCAAGTGTGGAGAATGGGTGGGTTGGAATGGGTGGCATGCCTGTCATAGGGGCCTCTGGAGGGTGAGGGAAGAGAAGCCAGCATCTCACTAAGGACACAGATTCAAGAGGCAGTTGTATAGAGGGAATGGGGAAGAAAAAGCCACTGTCCTTGAGGTACATTTGGTGCCACTTCCATCTTGACCCCAGACGTTCACCGTGTTGGCTTCTGCGCGACAACTGGCCTGCTCCCACTCGTGGTACAATATGCAGGCAGATAAGGTTTTGTCCACAGAGCTCTTTGGGCCAGAGGATATGGACAGTGGTATAGGTCGGGCTATTACGAGGGCTACAATATGGGTTGCCATTGTCTGGGGGCTGTTTTTCAGGGATACCTTTCTCTCTTTTTCTCCAGACAATTTCTATCTGCGGAACCTGCCGGCTCAGCCCACCCTGCTCTCAGCCAATCACAACTTCCCCAGCATTGCCCGGGCAGCACCTGGACACCCAATCGGTTCCTGCAGTCGGGACCGGGAGGCCGGCCACGGGCAAAAGTGCCACAAGGACTATGAGCGTTTTGTGTTGTCAAAGGACAAAGGGGCCAAGGGTGAGGGCAAGGAGCGAGCAGCCGACGAGGAGGCCAAGGAGCGGCACAAACTGGTGATGCCCATGTCATCGGAGGGGAACTGCAAAGAAGGGGCTCCTCAGCGAAGCTCTTGTGACAACCGGCCCAAACACCTGCCCTCGTGCCTTCTGAGCTCCAAAGTATTGAATGGGGACTCGGGCAAAGCTGTACTCCCCAGCTGTGGCGGAGGCATCCTCCCACGCCATGCTGGTGCCCAGAGTCGTTGTGCCAAGGATCTTGGACACCACGAGCCTCCTCCCCAGTCCTATAGTGAGTGCCTGGAGCGACGACAGATGCTGCACCACTCGGTCTCCTACACTGTCCCGTCTAGTTTGCCTGCTGGGCCCCCTGCCCTCAGCACTACGACCAGCAGCTTCCCCTGCCTCCAGCTTCATTCGAGTCCAGAAGGGATGTGCCCTCTGCAGGATAAGGCCAGCCGGGAGCTACGGATCAGTGGGGCCACTTTCGTGCCTTCTGTAGGCCATTTGACTGACAAGAGTCGTTCCTTCCAGGTGCCCTCTGAGCCCTGTGAGGGCAAGGAGCGCCCCCACGATGTGGGGCCAGAGCACCCGCCCACTTACGGAAACCACCCTTTCTCTCACCTCAAAGCAGAGGGCAAGGTCGAACGGCGGCTGGATTGGCCACAGAACTCCAGCGCCCGTCTGAAAGGCCTGGAGTACCTGAACAACCCTGGTTCTGATGGCCATTTTGGGAGCTTGCCTCACCAACCTAAGGGCGGGCATTTTGAGATGATGCCACCTCAAGACTGTGCTCGGCCCAGCCCTCAAGAGACGCTGTGTAAACTCAGCCAGTCCTGCTGCACTTTAGACAAGGCCCCCAAGGAGCCGCCAACACCCAGCACCCAGAAAGTGGCTCGCATCCGCCATCAGCAGCACTTGCAGACAGAGATGGAGCAGGCGGGCACCCACGCTGAGTCCAAGCGCAAATCAATGGAGCTCAGCTCTCTGGGCTACAATGGGCCACACTTGCCGCCATGGCCGGTGCAGGGCCAGGGCCCTCCTTTGTCTATGGTGGAGGAAAGGAAAAGTTCCTACCTGGACCCTTTTAGCAGCAGCCTTCAGCAGGCCGCACTCATGACGCAGGGCTCGGTCCTGACCCAAGACATGCACACTCCCCCAGATGAGGTGTCGGCCATGAAAAACCTGCTGAAATACAGCAACCAAGCACTTATTGTGGGCCAGAAGGCTCCCTTTGTGGGTCTGGGCAGCCTCAAGGGGAGCTGTGCCCACCAGGATGGGGGCAAGTTCCTTGGGGCCAAAGGGCAGCAGGAGCTGGAGCGCCCAGACTGTGCCCGCAGCCGAGACCACGAGCTGGGCCATGGGGATGGTGAGGTGCGCCAGCCTCCAGTGGGCATTGCTGTGGCCGTGGCTCGTCAGAAGGACACGCTGAGTCGGCCTGACCCAGCCTATGGGTCCAGCTCCGGTCGGCAGGGCAGGGCTGCCATGGGCCTGAAAGGTAAGACACCTCAGGGCATGAGGCAGGAAGAGGAGGGACATCCTTCTTCCCATGGGGATTTTTAAAATACATCTCTCTGTTCAGCACCTTCTTCTTTCTGTTCATAATAGCCTGTCTCCCTCTCCAGTCCCAAGCCCCTTCCACTTATTGTCCTTATGAAGGGGAGCTTCACACGTGGAGAAACGCTCGGGTATTGGAGGCCAGGCTTGGAAGCTGTGCAGGGTCAGGACTGGGGCCTCACGGCAGAGTCAGGATCTGGCTTTAGGGTTCTCTGTCCATGCGTGGTGCTCCCCGCCTGCTGATAAGATGTGGAAGAAGGTTCAGTCTGCAGCCGCCTGCTAACCAAATCCTGGCTTCCCTCTCTCCTTTTCCATGCAGGGCCTTTCATTTTAGACTTCTAGTTCCCAGGCAATCAAGACACAAAGGTGTTCTTAAAGCTCAGCTGAAAATCATCGTAACAGGAAGATAGTTCCCTTTCCTTCCTTGAGGGCCCAAAACCCACCTGATGGTGTAGAGTGAAAAATGAATGTGATCATTCTGTTGTGGGGTGGGGGTTGGGGAAGCTTCAGTCATGTCCTGCCCCATATGTGTCCCCATATGTGTCCTCAAAAGGAAGACCCAGTCTTGAGGAAACTGTTGGAAAGGTTACTAATCTTACTTTTTTAATCTTGTTTTTCCTCTTTTTTAATTTTATTTTGGCAGCTGGTGCTGCACGGCCTGTTCATGTCATTGACCTGGATGCTGAAGAGGAACGGAGCCGGCTATGTGAGGAACGCCTGGGGCTTGCAGGAAGAGACCTCCTGCTTCAGTAAGGGCCTGATCCAGGACAAGGATTGGGGAAGTAGGCATATGAGAATAGGGAGCTGTAAAAATACTTTATTTTTTTAGACCAGCTTGGCGTCCTGAAGGCTCTAAGCAAAGGCAAAGATGGCGGGTTACTTGGGTGCCTGACCACTTTGTGGCCCCACAATGGGCCTGTTCTAAAGGAAGCAAGACACCTTGTTTCTCCCGGGTCCTGCCCCTTCACATCTGTGGGGACTGAGGGCGGCTGCAGGGCCATTTGGTGGCAGCCCACTTGTCTAGCCTGGAGGGTGGAGGAGTCTCCATCTCAGTAGCCCAGCCTTTGTTCATCTTTTGTGTTTTTGCTTGTTTTCACCTGCCAGGGATAACAAAGACCTAGTGGAGTTTGCCCGCATCCACCCCTCAAGCAGCTGCCCTGGAGACCTGACCCCCCACCTGATGATTGCAAGCAGCTCCTCATTGCAGGCCAGCCAGCTGGGAGGAGATCCAACAGCCCATACCCATCCAGCTCATACGCACTGGTTACCCCGGACACGCAGCCCTTCACTTTGGATGGGTGGACACTCATACGGTCAGTCCAGTTGGCGCGATCGTGTGCTTTGTAGCCTGCAGCTGAATAGAGCCTCCTGCAGCTGCTGACTTTAGAGCAGACATGTCCCTGATGTGTTTCACACCAGAGCTACAGCAATTCTACCCTGATGGTGCAGCAAATTCAGTTTCTTCCATTTCTTCCTTGCTATTCCATCCACATCTCCTTTCAGCCCTCATTTGTTCTACTGGTCACACTTTGGCACCCCTGCTACTGTCGCTCTCTTCCCACTTTGTAAAGCAGGTCAGGATGATAGATCGAGGGGCCCACCTTAGACATCTGGCCTTCAAGGCTGTGAGGGCCAAAGGCAAATCTGAAGCCTAGGGTAACTGAGACTCTAGGCTGCTTCATACAGTTTATAAAATTCCTGTTTTATAGATGATGCAGAGGACATATTCTAACCAAATGTATGTTCCTAAAACAGAAAATGTTATGAATGTGGATGATTAACAGCTGTTGCCGAACTGGGACAGTAATGCCAGGGCTATTGCTGATAACTAAATAGAAGTTAAGCGAAGTAAGAGCTCCATTCAGTGTGTGTGTGTGTGTGGGGGAAAGACCCCACCTCTTGTAGTAATATCTTCTCTCTCTGGGGAATATAGAGTTGCCGTGAGCGTACATAGAGGGGGTGTGACTTTCTGTCTGAAATATGTTTTCTTCTCTGACGCTCTAGGCATCGGGCACCCTGCTCTTCATCAAAACCTGCCGCCTGGCTTCCCAGCCTCTATGCCCAGTGCCATGCAACCAGTCTTCCCCCTGTCACAGGAACCACCTGCCCAGTTAGTCATTCTGCCTTCTGAGCCTCCAGCCCACGGTGCCCCTCACACGCTGGGTAAGTGGTAGCCAGAATGCAGTTAGCTGGAATAGCCGGAACTCTCAATGACTGGGATAACTCAGATGCTGCTGCTGGTGGTGGTGGTGGTGGTGGTGGGGAGATTGTCTCTCTAATGTGGAAATGTAGGTGTGGTTCTCCAGCACAAGGAGGCCTCTTTTAGAGGTGTTGGCTTCATTTATCCCTCTGATTAACCTTTCTGTCTCTCAGCAGCTGAGGTGATGGATCAGGCATCTATATGGCCACCCATGTATCCTAGCCGGGGGCCTGGCTCTCACCTGCAGCACACAGGGCAACTCCCCGTGTATTCCCGCTCCCAGTTCTTGCGCCAACAAGAACTCTATGCTCTGCAGCAGCAGCAACAGCAGCAGCAGCAGCAGCAACAACAACAGCAACAACAACAACAGCGTGCAGCTCAGGCACTGGAAGTGCAGCGGCACACACATAGCCAGGTAGGCATCTGCAGGAATGGAATCGCCAATATGGTCCCTCTTTTTTCCTTTTCTTTTTTCACCTTTAGTGGGTTGTTAGAAAAACAGGCCTCGCTTACTGGGTAAAGATTAACCCCTTGCCATTTGGGGCATGTAGGTAATCACAAGATAGAAGAACCAAATTATAATTAAATCTGCAGCAGGGGTGAGGAGCCCTTTGTAGCCTGGGGGGCTCAATTCAACCTGAGAAGGTGCTGTGCCAGAGCTGCATTCCAGCAATAGGTGCAGCTAAGGGGAGTGGGGGTGGGGGTGGGACCAAGCACAAAGTGTCCAGAGACTGAGGAAAGTGGGTGGGCCCAGATGTGAGTTTTGCCACTTTCGATGGTTCCCCACAAGCATACAAAGCGCCGTGCGTGTCTGCTCAGGAATGAACCCCAGTGCAACCACTTTCTTGTCTTCAAAGAACCGCTCAGTTCCACGTAGTGTCTGTGAGAAAGCCTAGACCACCCACACAGTCTGTTTTAATGCAGATCAGTCCATGCAGTCCAGACCACAGGGTGATACACATGCAAAGCAATGAGTATTGCAGAAAGGGTACTGCACAGCTCCAGATGTCTCACCCAAATAAGCCAAACCACATGCAGCAGAGAAGGCATGCACACATGTGTTACTCTCTCTCACACACACACACATAACACACAGTCCCAACACGTTCTCCAGCCAATCTTGCCTGGTAAGAAGTGCTCTTTTGGCTCTAAATATAGTGCTTGGCCAGATCTTGAGTGAGAAGGAAAGTTATCTCCTGAGTCATCTCAAAGGAAGTTATATTGGCTACAGATCCACAATAGAGTCAACATCCTGCTTCTTGCTGTGTGGGGGGATAGTAATGGAAACCAGTATCCTACGTGGAAGAAGTAGAACATGCTTGCTGGCTCTCAAGGGCCATAACTGGAGCTTTGTTTTGTCTTGATTTATGTGTGGGCACCGGAGAAAGCAGAGAATATGCCTAGGTAGGATTCAGCTTTCTTTGAAGTTCAGCTTCTCAAAATGAGGTGCCAAGATGTTTTTCAGAAAAGTGTAGATTGATGCCTAATGAAGTCTTGAAAGTCCCCAAAAATGGTGACTGCCTAAAATTCCCAGTTGCCATAGAAGTTGCTTTCTGCAGTCCACAGGAGTCCTTGTCTCTGTGCATAGGCAGCGGAAACTGAAGACATAAAAACATACTTAAAAATAATAATTGCCCATTTGATATGTTGGCATAATATAGGTTGCCAAACTTATTTTTTCCCCCTTGGTATTGGATTTCAGTTGCTTTTGTTCAGAATTGTAGTTACTTGTGCTTAAGCAAAAGGATCCCTGTAGTGCATCAGCCTTAGCTGCCATCATCTGTGGAGACAAAGGCTGGGGGCTGCAGTCCAAGAACATCCGGCAAGCCTGTGCCCATCTCGGCTGTAGATGGATGCAACTCGGATAAATAGCCGCGGACTCAGGCTCTGCGTGGGATTGGAGCTGGTGAACTGATCAGGCTTCCTGAAGAAGAAAAGTGGGTATGGAAGGGACAGACAGGCCTGCCTGAGGACTGTTATCTAGCCTTTGAAATCATAGAGTTGGAAGCGCAAGGACCCCTGAGACTGAACTGTAGATATGATTCCCACTAGGCTCCTGTGAGGTTGGTTGTATGTGTTTGGGGGGAGGAGAGACAGAGAGAGATTCAAATACTCATGGGTGATTTTTTCCCCCTCTTCCCTTCTTTAGAGAAAGCCTGAAGAGCCGCCACCTGAGCTGGAGGTGCCAGGCCCGGAGAAGCCGCTCAAACCATCTCATAAAGCTGTTGCCTTAAACGCTCCCCCAAAGGGCTTGCCCTCTTCTGCCTGCTCAGCCAAGCTCTCTCCGTGCTGCCACCCGCCCAAATGCCCTGCCCCCTGCACTTTACCTGTCTGCCCTGCTGTGGTGCCATGCTCGCCTGCTGTAAGCCCGGTGCCCTCCCAGAACTCCACAGGTCCTGAGGCTGAAGGCAAACAGCCTGAAGGGCGGCCCGCCCAGGACTACCCCAAATCACTGGAACCAGGTAGAGAGAGAGAGAGAGAGACTCAGGGCATGGCTGTGAATGGGGGAGGGGGAGGGGGCAAAAGTGTGTGGGGGGGCATATTTGTGGAAGAACTCGACCAGGTGTGGCTTGCTGAGGCAGCGCGCTATTGATTGGAGGGGTTGCTGCCAACTTGTGGTACGGGTACCTTCTTTATTAGTAAGATTTTATGATCTGTGTCCTGCTACGGGCAAAAGTCTGAGTGTTGAGGCCGCTATGTCATTTGGTGTCTAGCATTGCATGGTGTCACTCCTAAATACATTCAAAATGCCATTAATCTACAATCCAGCTTGTCATCCTCATGGTGGTGGTGGTGGTGGAGGAGGAGAAGGGAAGAGACTATTTGAGATGTGGGTTATTAAAGGCTGGAGATCAATTAGGAAGGTTTCAGGGGTCAGTTGCAGGGTTTCCAACATTCAGGGTCAAGACCTGAGCAACTCTTGGTCCGTATTCGTGACAATCAGTCCTCCCGTTATTTTACCCCAGCGGTCCTTGCAGGCAGTCTGCAGAAGGTAATGGCCTGCAAAAACTGTGAAGCAGGTACTTTAGTTTGAATTTGCGAAATTTGTTATAATCACAGAATTTGAAAACATTCATGCGATATCCATATGTTATGTGAGAAGAATTTGGGGTTGGGTTGTGTGATTTATGGACAACCGTTTTATCTGGGCTTCATAGGTCCATTTGGTGTGATTTGAAGAGCCCAAGGTTACCCTGATGGATTGTGTTGGGCTCCCCTTTTCCCCCTTTTCTTACCCTGGTGATCTTTCTCTCTCTCTCCTTAGACCTTCCTCCTGGTTATTCCTACCCTGTGGCTGGTCTGGGCTATGCGTCGCCATTACCCCTGGACCCAGCTGATCCTGACACTATGCAAACGGTTTCCACGGCAGCTGAGCCTGAACAGTCCCGCACCTTCCCACCGGAGGAGGAGGAGCCACACTGTGAGGCAGAGGCAAGCCCACCCAGGGTGGTTGGAGAGACGGAAGTGCAAGCTCCTCACCCACGCCCTCCCCATCTTATTGTGCACCCTCAGAGGCCAAGCTCTCCAGAGCTAGCCAAGGAAACCACCCCATGTTGCCCCCTGCTGGTCGGGGACAGCCCAGAGGACTTGGATAACTCTGCCCCACCAGACCATCCAGAGGAACCTAGGCCAGATGCAGCGGTCCCTTCTCCAGAGGTGATAGCCATGGAGGCTAGTCCAGCTGCAGCTGTGGAAGATAGCTGCCAGGACAATGAGAGTGATGCTAGCTCACCAGATGCCTCCTCCACGCAGACAGAAGTACAAGGAGCACTGTGTGGCCTGGATGCCCTCATTGCTGCCAGCATCGATCTGGGTGAACTCCCCGCCTTGGAGTCTCCACCTCCATCTCCATCTGCATCTCCTGCAACTCCCCATCCTTTGCACACTCCATGCCGCTCAGGGATTCCTGGCATTGCCCTGCTCAGTGAGCTGGCTGAACTGGAACTCCGTCGGCAGCCCTCTGACACGGCCACCCATGGTAAGGAAGCAAGGTGCCCCCTTTTCATTTTGGCCAGCTCTGCCAGCTAGGAGATTGTGGGCGTTTCCCCAAAGTAAACTTTCCAGGCTCTGTGTCCCAATTGAGTCGGAACTAGGGCTGAACTTTACATATCAGCAAAGGAATAAAGAGCTTTTACTTCCCAACACCTGTTTCTGCCTCCCAGCTGGCCCGCAGAGAGTTGATCAGAACTCTTGTGTCTATCATGGAAGATGAGATATGAAAAAATTGTGACCAGTTGGTGATTGATGGGAAGATTATTTGGAGTCTATAAAACCAGATGTCCTGGAATCCTCTCCCAGATCTTGGAGGAAAATGTGTTCTGTTTTTACCTTTGGGAAACAGCAGTAGATGTATTGCTACAGCATACTCTCCTGCTGTCTTCCGTTACCCATCTAATGTTGCATTGAACAGCTGGAGATCAAATGCCAAATGTAGTTAACTCTCATGAATGCTGTACATCCCTGTCCACTCCCTAAGCCTGCATTGCACTGCTTAAACATCCCTGTGCAGGATCTTAGAGTCACTGAATTTGAAGGGACCTCAAAGGTCTTAGCATCAAACTCCCTGCTGTTATACGAAATGCATTGCTACAGCCTTGTGGAACAGGATCTGCACTTGGATAGCTTACCATCAACACAGCACTGTGCTTCTTGTTGGTCTCGCTCTTGTGCATTAGGAATTGTGCAGTCCAGGTTTAAAAAAGTGGGATAGAATCACACATTTTTTTACTGCAGCTGCAGGTATCTGGAAGCTAAGAAGAGTCTGTTGTAACCAAGTTGGAGCACCATATAAGCTGCTGGTTTTCCTCTAGGCTGTTTCTCCATATGTATTGTGTGATGAAAGATGGACTTCATGTCTGGCCTTGAGTGTTGTATATAGTTTGCAGAGTGTGGGAAAGTTCCTTTTTAGAGTACAATTTCCAAACTCCCCAGCCAGTATGGCCAGTGGCTTGGGAGTGTTCTGAATGAGCTATAAGCATTCCCAAATCATGGTGGGTAACAATGGGAGAAAGTGTGTGTATCAGGATTCACATTTATAAGGAGACACCTGTCCATGAGATTGCCTGTTCCTGGCCCTGGGGATGAAATGAGATGCTGACTACATGGGCTGTTTAACCTGCTGTTTGGAGCATTACAGGGATGGGTTGGTGCACTCTAAAAGATGGCAATTGGACAACATCTTTGCTAGTGTGCACCAGTCTGCCCCCAGAGCATTTCTACCTGATGCTCTATTAAGGGGCTTCTACTTCCATGGTGAACATAGAATTGCTCTGGTTTGGGTCAGTTCCAGCACAAGTGATCGCTAAAACTAATCCAGAGCAAGCCTTTCTCTTTCAATTTGCCAGTATCATGAAGCAGTTTCATGAGCAAGCCACTTCAGGATATTGGCGAATTAATCACTTCCCCTGCTCGACAGGGGAAGTGAAAAATTATTTTTGACTCAGTTATGAAAATTGCTACATCAGTTATGATTTTTTTTTAAAAAAAATCTTTTTGCCTCATCGCAAAGGGCCAGTCAAGGAACCACCACCATCCTGTAGTTGAATCCATGGCAGTATTTTGGCTGCAGGCAGTTTCTCAACCAGAGAAGGCAAAGAAAAGATTGTTTTAATTTTTTTATAGTTGATGCTATTAAAAAGTTTTTTCCCCACTTCCCTTGTCCTCTGCCAAGCACGGGAAGTGATTAATTTCCCAATATCCTGAAAATGCTATTAAAAAGTTTTTCCCCACTTCTCTTGTCCTCTGCCAAGCAGGGGAAGTGATTAATTTCCCAATATCCTGAAGTGGCTTGCTTCTTAAACCACTTCATAATATTAGTAAGAGCCATTTCCGTGTGAATGGTCAGGCTTGATTAGATCATTCTAATCAAGCCTGATCATTCCCAAGCGGCCCACACTAGCTTGCTCCCTGCTGCTAGTTAGCCATACCATGTGTTTCACTTAGAAGCACAGACATTCCAAACAGTCAAGTGAAATCAAGAGTCACAGTTTAATGGCTTGCTTGCTTGGTCACTATTTTGGAAGCAGCATCAATCCAACTCTTGCTTTAGTCTCTAGGAAGAGAAGTTTTATTTATTCTGAGCCCAGGAGGCAAGAACCAAGGCAGCTACTCTGTGCCACATGTAGAAGGCAAGGGGTGTATTAGAGGGAAGTAGAACCTTACTGCCAGAATTGTGGCAGAATGGAGATTTGTCTTGAGGGCTGTTAATAAAAACATTGTGTAGCCCTGCAAACTGGGGAATGAACCAGTCGTGTTCACCACTCCTGTCACTTAGGGAGAACTACCCAATGTGAATACCGTTCCGTGGGAGGGAGCACCAGGCTCTTTTTTGGATGTCTTCTGTTTCAGAGTTTCTAAAGAACAAATACTTCATCAACTGGAGTGTCCCCAAGCTTGCAGAATCTAGTTTTTAAAAAATGAATAAAATGAAACTAGTGAAAGTCCTCTCTCCCTCCCTCCCTCTTTTTAGTTTCTACACCTTTCTGCTATTGTTTTTTATGTCTTCCATTTCCCGTCTGGGGTCTGCACCAACCCACATGTGCAGATGGTTATCACCCCCTGTGGCTAAGTAAACTCTGTACTTTTCATCTATACACAAACGGTTGCCGCTCACACACCAGAACTGTTTTTTGCACACAGTGGAACGGAAACCACATGCAAGGACTCTCATGCATATGTGTGCAGGTTCACTTCTCAGGCAGAAATTCTTCTACACAAGCACAGGGCAACAATCCGCTGGGGAGAGTAAAATAGATACATCCGCATACACATATGTATGCAGGCATATATGCATACACACAGAGCAAGCAGATTTTTTTTTCTGTGCCTTGCTGTTCCCTTTTCTCTGTCCACTTAACATCTCCAGGGATTCTTGAAAGCATAGTCTGTTAACTACACTGCTCTTAAAACCATCCCCCTCCAATCATGGCTTCCCCAGAAGTCTCCTTTCCAAGTTTGATGCTATCTCATGAGGCCCCCTTTCCCCACTAAGTTCAGACAATGCTGGCTCCTGGCTGCTGCCCCTCAGCTCAAATTGCCTTTTCAGATCCCCTGCTGTGATATGTGGTATCCCAACACTTCCCCCTCTGCCTAGATGGACGTGTGGTATTTGCTGGAGATAAACATGAAAATGTGCCTTATAGCTTCAGGCAGTGACATGTGGAGTGTGTGGTGGGTTGAAGCAAGACAGGACTGTGCCTTGCCTGTAAACTCTCCAGCTTAGAACAGAGCTACTGTTCTAACAATAAGACTGCCTTGGCTAACCTGTACTGTCATGGTGTACTTTCCAGCCCTGCACGGTTAGCATGGAAGCCAGGTATCTCTGAGAAAAGGGAGGACATGACATTCTCCCCCCCCCCAAAGTAGATCTGTGAGACACAACCAGTGCTACAAACAAGACCCAGACAAATGTGCATGCATCCAATGACCAGAGAATAGTTTCTACTCAAAGTTCACACCACCATTGGTTGGGAGCTCTGATTATGGCCAACTCTTTTATATGTGCTTGTGAAGCACCCTGTAAGATTGGGAAGAGGTATTAGATGCATAATGTATATTGTAAGTACATGTTACACTTATAAGAATGACTAATAAACAGGCGTATTTGAGCAAGGCATTTCAGCTTCAGCCTTCTTCAGTTGCTCTGGCAAAAGTATTGTAAGATATTATAAGCACATGTTATATGCATTAATATATATACCATGTCTGGCACATGAGAGCTCTCTTTCTACAACACTCATCTCTTTTTTTGCTTTTCTACAGTGCTGGATGAAGACTTGGTTGCATTCAACCTGCAAAGCCTTGCCACGCTTGCTGCAGCCTGGGCCCTTGTGGAAGCTACTGGCCTAGAAAGCAGCCCTCCTGACCTCCTCAACTTGGCAGATGCCGCACCGTGCGTGGATGTGCCACCTCGGACAAGGGTCTCCCGTCGCAAGTACATCTGGACCCCAAAGACCAAACCTGTAAGTCTTGTGCTTCTTGGGCATTTCATAAGGCCACCTCCAGCCTTCCACCATCCTAGGGCTCCTTCTTGATGTAGTCCTGGTGCCAGCCAGACCAAATTGGGAGCTCTGTGTTCTGTCTCTTTCTGGGCCGCGGATGCTCTGCTCTTTTAAACCCACTGCATTTTCAGTCATCTTATCTGATGAAGCTGCCATCTGAGGAAGGCTCTCAGCTGCCAGAGGAAGCAGTTGGGACCTCATGTTTCCCAGAAACTCTTGATAATTAATCGCAGGTTGCGTTTGCTTCTGGGTGATGGGGTCACATATTTCTTCCCCTGAGGCTCAGTGTGGTGAAGCTGTAGAACCAGGCCATGATTTGGTACAGGTTTTTTTTGGGGGGGGGAGGGCAGTTTGGCACATGAAAGGCAGCTTTCTAGCGTTATCTGTGGAGCCAGCTAGCCTTCTACAGCACTTTCTCTCCAAGAGCACACCTATTTATCAGGTTTTGGTATACTGAGGCAAAGAGAAGCCACATAAGAGTCAGGAATGAAAGGGAGGGCACAACACAGACTGTACACAAAAGCCATTTGCTTTCTGCCATGATTAAGGAGGCTTCTCACGCTCGATAGGTTTGCCCTCTGAAAGCAGCCATTGAGAACCTGGACACACAGGAAGTGGAGATGCGTATGCGGCTAGCAGAACTCCAACGGCGCTACAAAGAGAAGCAGCGAGAACTGGCCAAGCTACAGAGGCGGCACGACCATGAGTGAGTGTCTCTGCCTTTTCGCCTTCCACAGTGGTTTCTAGGAGGAGGAGGAGGAGGAGGCACCAAGCCCTACTTGGCCAAGAACAGAAGGGCAGGATGTGAAATCATATCACATCTGCCGGCCAGGGAAGCAAGCAGGCAGTTCCCTTGTACCAGGATTGAATTCAAAGCTTCTCAGTGTTTTTAAGGAGACAGCACCCACACCTTCTGGAAACCTACACAAGTCTTAACAAATGGGAGCTGAGACGTTCTCACCCTTTTGCCCTGTGTTTATTATGGTTGTTGCCTGCAGGCGAGATGAGAGCTCCCGGAGTCCAGCTCGACGCGGACCAGGACGGCCTAGAAAACGCAAGCACTCCAGTACACTCAGTTCACTGCGACAGAGCTCAGTCAGCAAGAGTGACAGCAGGAAGGTCAAGTGAGTGATCTGGCATCACTTGTAAAGTGGGTGTTGGAATGACACTGTGGCACTATATGTGCACAACGTTGCATGCCTCTCTGGAAGCATGCAGGAGCATGCGTATGCATTAATGAGTATGCATAGCTATTACTCTGTTGAGTATGCATAGCTGTTACTGTGTAGGCATTATAATGAATGCAAACAATGTAGTATGCATTCCCATATCAGCAAAGCTATATACAATGCCAGCAGTGGTCAAAATGTGAATTGCTACCAAGCACCCATTAAGTTGTGGAGGGCGGAGCTGAGATTTTGCTACACCTGCTGGTTTTTCTCCCCCATTCTTTTCCCCCATGCCCCAAGGTTTTATTTCTCCCAGCTGGGCTAATTTTCAAAATTGGAATGTGACAATGGGGAGGGAACTTTGGGGAGAAGGGACTAGTGTAGGATGGTTCCAGTACCCCATATCTGCTCTCCCTTTTCTGCTTAAAATTCCCTCACCATCTACCTGAGAGGCATCTACTCTGCTTATGTTTAGAAAGGTGAGTGTTTTGAGTGAGGCAAAGAGGGAGTGGGGAGGAGGGACCTGTCCCTATTTGCACAACTATGTTGCAGAGGGTATGTGACTGTATTTTTCAGGAGTCTCTACAAATGGTTATTTCCTAGACCTTGGAACTTTCTCTTTTGTTGCTGTCCTGGAAGTAGCACGACTTTTTTTCACATCAAACAGAATGCAACATGTGTTCCATATGTACTTGTTATCTGTTGCAACGTTGTGTATTTGTACACTGCCAAAGCCAGTGCAACTGTCAAGAAGAGAGATCCCATTGCCCTATTGGATATTATGGATACCTGTGGGCAGGTGTTTGTGTGTCAGAAAGAGAGAATAAGAGAGAGCTGGGAGGAGAGGTGATGATGTTCATGAAATATTTGGAAGCCAAAGTCTCTTGTTGTTTGTAGCTGTTCCTGTTGCTGCCACTCCAGACCTGGATGCATTTCAGCCCCAAATACAGTGATTTCCTTCCACCTCATAGTGGACATCGGGGCCTGGGAAACCAAATGGGATTGGAGAGACGTCTGTTTCTCTGTCCCAAACCTTCTCTCCCGCCCCAGGTCGGCCTTGCCTCCTGCACCGCTTTGGGGAAAGAATTGCCCCTCTTTGAAGAGGAAGGCAGCGTTGCATAAAAGCCTCTTTATCTGTGCTGTATAAAGTCATTGGTCACGCTGCAGTGGTGTTCATTGCTGCTGGCGCTTTATGATTATCCATTAGCCGCCCGGCACAGTCATTCCCGCACTCACGGGCCCTGTATAATTGTCCTTCTCTGCTACAAATTGCCTCTCCCGGCAGGCCCATTTGCATAAATCCTCCAAGCTAGTCCAAACATGATTGGAGCACGCGTGTGTGCGCTGCATCAATCCTGATGATTTGGTAATAATAGTTAAATCTGTACTAAATGGTTCCTTCAATTAAGACAGAAGAAAAAAAATTAATCTCTAGGTTTTATGTCACAAAACATTAGCAAATGTAGTGAAGGTTACAGGGGAAAAAAAGCAGTTAGTGTTGGCTTTGGGTTGCAACATGGCTCTACCATATGGCTCATGGAAACCTTCCAGGGCTCACTGAAGAACTTGCTTGTCTTTTCTCCCATTTCTCCTTGCCCACCACCAGCCCTTTATATAGATTTATCCTGGAGGCGAAGCAGAATCCCAGTTTCTTCCCTGCATCTTTTAAAATTGTGCAGATTTGTGCAAAATTAAATCCAAAAGGGAATTCAGTCTTTGGCACTAATATAACCTATCAAGTGATATCAGAGGATAGGAGGTCATATGAAGGCAACAAGCAGGGCACTAAATGACAATATTCTTGCTCTGTGCATTCTAAGAGTATGTCTGCATGATTCCAGAAGCCATTCCATCAGAGTGAGTTCGTGACCAAATCTTCATAGCTAGGCTTTCCTTTTGAAATACAGGATTCTGTCCTTTACGTTCTGTGACCTCCGACATAGTCCACACTCCATGTTCTCTGTTGCCTGGGAAGGCAAAACACTGAGAAGTAAAATTCTTCCACTTACAGAGAGGAGCTGGTGTTTATGATGAGCTTCATCAGCAGGGATAAACAACAGCCTGAGAGAGGGACTGATAAAGCGATCATGGGCTGTGCCACAGACGTTTTGTCCTGCTATGGTCTCTGGTCAAATGTTTTGCAAATTCGTAATGAATTATTATAAATATTTGTAAAGTTGGTTTGACCAAAGTCCTAACCAGGCGAAGGGGGAAAAGTGCTTTCTGAAAAGATGGTCAACAAAAGCTCCTTGGTAGTTCGAATTATTTGCCAAAACATGGTCACATTCTATATGTGAACCCAGTTGGCAGCAGTTATTATCACATTCTACCAAGAGCGTTGCCACTGGTGACATTCTCACCAATCTTGGGAAGCAAGGCTAAATATGTTTGGAACATAGATTCTTCTTTTCCAATTTTTGTACCTAGAAAGTAAAAGTGTATTCATGAACTACTAACTGCAAAGGGCCTTTGAGAACCGTGACCTGCTCTGTTTACCACAGTGGGCTCAGAGCCTGAGGTACCTGATGCTGTTCTGTGGTGCAGTAAAATGGGCTCAGTTGGCCTCTCAAAAGCCATAAAAGCAGCAGGATCCAATCCCTTGAATGCTCACATGTGAGCACATGGGAAATCAACCTTTTCCCACAGATCAAGGCATCTCAGTGTGGTTCCAGACGGTTCAGGCTCCCAGAAAGAGAAAGAGAGAGTGTGTGTGTGTGTGTACCTGATGCTGTTCTGTGGTGCAGTAAAATGGGCTCAGTTGGCCTCTCAAAAGCCATAAAAGCAGCAGGATCCAATCCCTTGAATGCTCACATGTGAGCACATGGGAAATCAACCTTTTCCCACAGATCAAGGCATCTCAGTGTGGTTCCAGACGGTTCAGGCTCCCAGAAAGAGAAAGAGAGAGTGTGTGTGTGTGTGTGTAACGGTTCAGGCTCCTAGAAAGAGAAAGAGAGAGTGTGTGTGTGTGTGTGTTAACCTGAATGGTGGCTTGTGCTGCTTTCCACTTGGTTCATTTGCATGTATCTGCCTTGTACCTTAATGGTGGCTTGTGCTGCTTTCCGCTTGGTTCATTTGCATGTATCTGCCTTGTAAGCCTGCCCCAGCAAACAGCCATGGCATAGGATTCCCTTCCTGCGTGCCAGGCCAAGGCTGCCAGCCATGGTGGCATCCTTTCCCTGTGTTTCAGGTGGAGGCTTTTGGCTTCAGCAGAGCAACACATGCTTCTATGGCAGCTGCAGGCCCAGCCCCTTGGCCTGTTTCCTATCAGGAACATTCCGATTCCTTGAGCTTCCCACGCTGAACAGAGCTTCTTGCCAAGCACGCCTCCCTCCTGCCACTCCCCGGAACTGAGCGGTGGCCAGGAGCCATGGTAATTCCCCGCTGAAGTCAGTCTGCTGAGGTGCTCAGGTTGGGGGGTTGGGGGGTTGGCCTCAGCTGGAGCCTGGCATTGCCCGCTGCTGCTCCTAAGCCAGCCCGCTCCTCCTCCTCCTCCTCCGCCTCCTGCCGATGGCCCTTCGCCTGCTTCAGGGTGCTCCGCTTCCTTCCCACCCTCAGCTTAACCAGGGAATTCCCGCCTTCCTTTCCTTTCCTCTTTCCTGCCGGCAGCCGCAGCCCGGAATGGAATTTGGCACCGGCTTCAGGGTCAAGACTGGGTCAAAAGGTTGAGGTACTGGGGCAAGGCCCGAGAGGAGAGTGTGAACAGAAGCTGTCTTGGGAAGATGGGGTTTGTGCGGCCTCAAGCCCTGGGCTGCATTCCCAGGGTGCAGCCAACAAGAGGCAGCTTCTCTGGAGCTTGGGTGCCGGAGTGGAGCAATTAGAACTAACGAGCACTAGAGATCAGAGCGGGCAGCCAGCCAGCTTGGGGGGGGATGGGACCAAGCCTTCAGGGAACTGATTCATTTCATACTTACTATGCTAGGAGAACAAGCATTGCCAAAGCACTGTAGAGAAGATCCTTTGGAAGGTGACAAAGGATGACCCACCCCGATGAAGCCAGGCCTGATTCTTTGAAGTTCTTGGTTGGGGGCAAGAGAGGCGAGGGGGTGGGAGGTGAACTTCCTCTGCCACTTTTCCATTCTGAATCTGGCCTACACTTCAAATGGAGTACAGAGCTTCCCTTGTCACTTCTTGCCTTTCTCCCATCATCCTCCCATTGCTCCTTTAGTGTGCCAGATGAGACCAATCATACTCATATTGTCTTCTCAAGGCTGGTCTAAACTGGCTGCAGACTGGCCGGAAGGGAAACAGGAAGAGTTTGGAAAGGAACAGGAAGATTTTACTGAGCTGTGTGTGGAAGCCTGTGGCCAAAGGTACCTGAAGAAACTGTTGGAGTTTTAAAGTTCTTCTTAAATTCCTGTAGCTGTGCAGCAGAAGGGCAAGGATTCACAGAGCAGAATAGCTTCAAATTAACCAGAGCAGACCACCCCTTTTTTTCTCATTAACTGGCACTTACAGTCTCAGTAACCCACTCAGACACACTAGTGGAAGAAAGAATAAAAAGGTGTCTCTACTTACAGTTGAACAGATCTACAGTAAAACTGATGCACATGACTGCTCTTGACAACAAACTTCAACAGACTTACTGCTTCCAACAGACAAAAGAGGGGGGAAAACAGCAGAGAGGTGGGGCTATCATTGTATCAGAGGCAGGAAGGAACATTTGGTTATTGCTGAGTAGGTTGACAATAACCCCAGTCTAAAAAGGTCCCTCCCAGCCACACCTACTAGAAGCAGCATGTGAGTTTACAATAACTACAACAGATGTTGGGGTTTGTATGTGCTGTGATTCTGTGGGAGCACAAAAGGAACACAGAATATAAGAGTGGGCATAGATTCCTGCTTTTTAAAGACACAAATACACACACTTTGTGTGTGTGTGTGTGTGTGTGCATGTGTGTGTGTGAAGAGAGAGAGAGAGAGAGAGTTAGTGCCTTGAAAGCCACATCTCCTGAATC